ATCCCAGGTCTCAGACTCAGTATGACTGTCTGCCAATATCGGGTTTCTTGGCGGAATCTATCTGTCGCAGCCAATTCGACACATCTAGTCTCACCGGAACTGTCGGAGTACGGAACACCCGCGGACCTATGGGGCCTATGTTTGGATTTTAGCTATATGTTAAAGATAAAGCCATGATTTCCTATTGAAAAGGTTGCCTTCGCTGCTCCTCAAGTCTGAAGACGATTTCAACTCTTGCTTTTCGTATAATTTTAGTCCTGCAGAGTATTGTATCGCGTGAGTGTGCCATGGACTATGACAATATTGTCCGTGATCTAGGGAGGGTGATGGACGTGTTAAGGGAGGAAATCGACACGGTTGAGGGTGCCCTTGAGGCCGTTGCTGGACAGATAGCGACGTGCACAGACAGGGACAGCTTAGCGGACTTGCGCGATGAGGAAGAGCAGCTGCGCGATGAGGAGAAGCAGTTACACGAAGCGAAGAAGGTGCTCTATAAGCTCATGCACCGCCACAGTGAGTAGTGTCAGCGCATATTTGGCGCGAGGTTTGCGCAGACCCAGGAGTCAAATTGCTGCATTAAAGTTATAAGTTACACGTTCTGCAAAAGTGCGGAGGCCGCCCTGATAGGCCAGGGAGGCGCTGGCGTTCACTTGTCATTCTTGTGAGGACATCCTTAACAGGAGTTGCCAGACATATTGATCCACAGCGGCTTGCCGAAGAGCATTATTGTAGTCCATCCACGATGTCTCTATCCCTGCATGATAGACCTTCAAGGCCCCTAACCGATTTGTATGGTCATCTGAACACCCTCACTGTTAGCAAGATGTTTGTTCCTTTACTGGGCACTTGAGTCTAATCCCTACTGTTGAGTTACTATTAAGCTGTATATGGAGACCTTGTTTTTTCTTGAGTCTAAGCCGTCTGGTGGCTTTGGTAGCTGCATGCCTTTCTGACTTTTTGCATGCTGAACGGCCAAGTCCACGGCTTCTACCGCAGTGGTTCTGGACGAGAATGCCACGCGCTTCTTTGGTACACTGCATACCATGCATGGTCATGGTCTTCCGAACCGTTAGTAAGCTGTGTGTTCCTTTAGAATTAGCACACCCCTGCTATTTCGTGACAGATGACCTACCTGTGTAATGCACCCTCGTTTTTCCTTGATGTGCAGCTGTGGCAACTACTGTCCCGCCACCGACAGCCCCGCACAGTCAGCTGTTGGACTCAAACATGGCCATCCCGTGGCTCGACTCCCCGATGCACAGAGAGCTGGTTGTGCTCGGCGAGCTCTGCATGAAGGAGGACTTCGACAGCTTCAAGGACCTGCACAGCCTCCTGGAAGCCATGGCATCTGCGCTGGCGCTTACACCGGACGGGCTGCTGAAGGCGGACTGGTTCATGCAGGTAAGA